TCATCATGTTCGACTCGCGCGCGTTGTAACAGTAAGGATCTGGGACCCAAATATTCTCTATATCAGCGCCTTTAATGGTAAGGGTGTGGTTGAGCTTTCCAGCCAGACGGGAGTCCGTCCAACGCTGCCAAAAATAGGTGAATACCTTGTATTCCTGTTGAAAGAAATGTATCGTGAATCGTTGGACTGTCCAAATAAAAGGAAATATAAATATTTTTCTTTTGCCATAACACTCCTTGCATGAATGCATTTAAAGAAAAAAAGTCATAGGTTCTATCAATATATTTTGCAGGAGAAATTTTCAAAAGTTTGGAAATTCGGTTTTTACCCAATTGATTTTTAGATATTGAACACCACTGACCGATTTTGACCACTGGTGGCTGATATTGGATTGTGAACACTGGTGGCCAATTCTAAATTTTTGCCACCCGTGGCCGATTTTGGGTTTTGAATTCAAGAGGCCGATTTGGGATTTCTGCCACCAGTGGCTGATTTTGGATTTTGGTCACTAAAGGCCAGTTTTGGATTTTGGCCACTAATGGCCTAATTTGGATCTTGGATACTGGTGGCCGATTTTGGATTTTGGCCACTAGTGGTCGATGTTGGATTTTGAACATTAGTGGCCGATCTTGAATTTTGGTCACTAGTGGCCGATGTTGGATTTTGGCCACTAATGGCATATTTTGGATCTTGGACACTGGTGGCTGATTTTGGATTCTGGCCAGTAGTAGTCGATGCTGGATTTTGGACATTAGTGGCCGATTTTGGATTTTGGCCACTAGTGGCCGATTTTGAATTTTGGCCAATGGTGGCCGATTTTGAATTTTGGACACTGGTGTCCGATTTTGAATTTTGGCCACTGGTGGCCGATTTTGAATTTTGGCCACTGGTGGCCGATTTTTGGATTTTGGCCACTGGTGGGCGATTTTGAATATTGGCCACTGGTGGCCGATTTTGAATTTTAGCCACTGGTGGCCGATTTTTGAATTTTGGACACTGGTGGCCGATTTTGAATTTTGGGCACTATTGGCTGAGTTTGGTTTTTTGTAGTTGAGATTTCACTGTAAATAAAGAAGCTTCGGCTTTTTAGGATTAAGTGAAAGGTCGCAAATTTTTCTTGAAGTAAGCGGTGAGCGCATTTCGGAGATTTTATTGCATTAGGCAATATTTCCATGCCAAGGTTTTCTCCAAAAATTAGATCGACTAAAGAACTAATTAGTATATGGCTTCGATAGTTTATCAGCCTTTATTCATATGGCTTCGATAGTTTATTGTTTAAATAAGACTTGTGCCAATTTTGAAGGAAAAGTGATTGTTCAAAGTGGTCGTAGAATTAACTTTGTAACTTTCTTATTGATGTTTTAGGATTCACTCTCACCTGTCACTAGCATGACAAAAGAATGGATCGGTATTGAATTTCCTGCGAGTATGCTACTATTAGATTGTCATGAAATCATCTATGAAGTAGGTAGCTGACCATTACTTCCTTAATGAAAAGACATACCATGTTGGCCTCCTCAATGTTTCCAAAAGATTCCACATACAAGTGACAATGGACGATCGTGGGCTTTTGTTCGCCTAAAGAAAAAAAGTTCACTGACAAGTTCCCAAAGTCAGAAATATGTGCAATCATTCTCATGCATTTTATGCCTAACATTACTGCACCTTGCGTCAGTTTAGATGTGTAACTGGTTTGCCTCAATAAAAGTAAATAGAAGCAAGAAGGTGACTAAATCGAAAAACGTAGAAAGGGATCATTTTTACATTAATATATATTATG